CTCTCATCATCCCACGTGACTTGAATTCTACTTTGCTGTTTTCTGTTAAGACCGGAGGAGTAAGATGGAAACCAGATATTCATTGGACACTTCGTGTAAATGAAGTGTAATTGGAAGAAAAGACGGAGGGAATGGTTGTTCAAAAGTCAAATTTACACAAAGGGACAAGGGTATGGTCAAGTCTGGTCACACTGGCCTAACGAGAGCAGTTACTATCGCTGGGGAAAAATCGAAGGGCATTAGTAGCACACAGGGGAGAAAACACTGATTGTGTTAGTATTGGATAACTGACTGATGACTGAGAAATCTGTTCAGCTTGAGGTGTGGATATCAAAAGAAAATTAGATAATGATATATGGGGCAAGGGACGAACTTTGTACACTGTAACAAATTTGTGACTGTTATTTCTGTGTATCATATGTAAATAATTTGATGTCGATGTATACTGGCTTCACGTAACTACCCCATGTTCATTATTTTCCGACTAAACTTTGTACAAAATGTCAAACCAATAAAGTTTCTAATTGCGGATATCAAAGATTTAGACTTGCCGAGGCCCTTAGAAGTTATATGAAATTTGGAGGTGTCTTGTAAAGTGAAACTATTCTTACAAAGTCTGGAAGCTAATATGTTTTAATCAATAGCATAAACAAATGATTGCCATATGAATGCAAGTCATAACAAGTTCTTATGTCACCAAAATTTGGAGGCCCCTCATAATGCGAGTCTCATAGTTGAAGCTTATAATGGGGCCCAAAGCTAGTAACAACAATAGCAATATAGTCATTTACAAGTAAGCAGCATATGATTCTGAATGGTATCCCGCCTATAACTAACATACAACTGACAGGACATCCTAATTCCCATTAGTCAAAAAGGCTTTAGAAGTTTATTGGTATGAAACATGGTTCATGCTACGATACTTTATACTGTTTGTGCGACTGGAGAGCAAAGGATATTTTTTTTCTTTTCTTAAATTTAAATGACAGCAGAGGTAAAGCTACAGATAATGACAATGACAACTAATCAAAAAAATGATTTGTATTGTCAAATATTCATATACTGCAAAGACTAGAATAGCTGTAACAATCCAGAGGGATGGCCAATGTGGGTAAAAAAAATGCATGTACAAACATATACACATTAATTTCCAAATTCTCTGGCTTTTCTACACGGTACAATGTCTTCTTCCTGTGCAAGATCTAAAAATACTTAGGTCAGTATTGTAAATGTCTTTACCTTCTATTTAATAAAAAAAATATATAAATAAGAATAAATAAAATAATGATGATATAAAATCATGATGAGAATGATGGTGATGATGATGAAAATGTTAATAATAATAATAATTATGAAAATGCTAATAATAATGATGATAATAAGAATTATTCTAACAGCACTACTACTAATAATACTGAAAAAAAAAGATTGATAATGCTAATGATAATAATGATGATAATGATGATAATAATGATGATAATGTTAATGATGATGATGATAATAATGATAATGATGATGATAACAATAATAATAATAATAATAATGATGATGATAATTATACCAATGATAATAATAATAATAATAATAATAATGGTAATACTACTACTAATAATAATAATGGTAATAATACTAATACTAATACTAGTAATAATTATTATTATTCTTTTAGTGATTATAATAATAATAAATTAAATAGTAATAACTATAATGGTAATAATAATGATGATGATAATAATAATAATAATAATAATAATAATAATAATAATAATACTAATAATAATAATAATAATAATAATAATAATAATAATAATAATAATAATAATAATAAGTGATAATAATAAAGATAATAATAATAGATAATAACAGCAATAATGATAATGATAATGATGATGATGACAGTAATAATAATAATAATAATAATAATAATAATAATGATAATAAAAGTAATTATAATTAATGGTGAGAACCTTATCACAATAATTATTGTTATGTTGTTATATTATCAGTATTATTTTTTATTCATATTCATTTGTACCATCACTATTATTATTATTATTATCATTACCACCTTTTGCATTAAACTTTCAGGAGTTGCATTCATCCTTTCTTGGAACTGCCACTAGGTCTCCTTGTTCTATGCATGTAAGACTTCACAGATATTTCACTGATAGAATTTTGTATAACAGAACTGTCAGGATCTGGATGTAGTAAGGAATCTCTCATCCTGAAAAAAATATATGAAGTCATTGAAAATTGTACAACAGTTTCGAAATCCACCTGGATTCCACCCTTAGGATGGAATCCAGGTGGCTTTTGAAACTGTAGTCTCACTTTCAATAAATCTAGTTTTACATTGTAGGTTTTACTACCACAGTATCAACACTGTAGAGTGTTTAACCTTTCATATGACATCATAATCATATTATTTCCAAATAGTGTTTAACTCTTCATGACAACATTCCTTGCGTGACATTTAGAAAAGATAAAATAAACACAAAAATTGTTTGATTTTTATTTTGATTTATTGGAAAAATAAGTTATATAGCACTGCCATTTCTCATAGTGTTTGACCATTTACAACCATATTAGGAACTAAAGTCTTCATCTATCATATAGAAAATCACTTACAAATATAGAATATACTCAAACATACAAGAAATATCATCCCTAGAAACAAGCTGCCTATTCTCCTTCCTATTAAGACTAGCGTATAATAGTGTGCATATAACTGCTAATAGTATGTGTGTGGGGAGGGGACAAGAGTATATATATGTGTGCAAGTTTTACAGGTGGTAGAAGCATATATTTAAGTTCATAAACTTGAGCATTTGTTAATCACTATGTGTTTCATTATTTTTCTGACAGCTGCACCTAGATAAAATCAATAAATGTGTTAATAAAATAATTTTAAAATTATATATCAGACTCAGACAAGGGATTATACCTAAATAACTCTATTCCACATGTATGCTACTTAATAAAAATATGTTAAAATATATCACATATATCACCATTGGCATATCACAATATGTAAAAGATGAACTCATATTTTAGTGACTTGTTCAGGATAATCTGACCCTATATAAAAGTATCTTGTTTCACATATCTTTGATCAGAAAGTAAAGGTGTGTCTATCCCTAATAAACTTTACAAATACATTCAAATTAGAAAATAGCTGTGACTACATCAAGTTTTACATAAAGAGCAATAGAAGAATACATAATAAAGTCTTTATCATACTAAAAAATAAGATATTGTATTGAACAAGATACATAAAACTTGAAAAAGGGATGTATGACACTGATGATACCAATATCTTCTTATTCTAAAAAATCACGGAGATGACATCATTTTCCTGAACCCAATAAGGGATGATATCAGACCAAGCAAGCCAACCTGCAAGAGAGAAACTTATGGTATAATGTATATACACAAAGAAGGGCACTGCCTGAAAAAAATATTAGACTTTGTAATACATGCTTCATAATGGCAAAAGTGAGCCAACCCTAATATACATTATCATTTATGCCACAAAGTAAACAATTCTGCAGTGATACAGGATACACATACTTTTCCACCTCAATTTTGGCTGGGGTACATGTGATTTTTCAAGAGACTAAAACTTTAAAGTCTACTTTGGAAGGATACATCTCTTCAGTGATCATATAAGGCCAACAGAGTCAATGTCAGATGAGCACATCACAGAGATGATCCAACCTAAGTTGACTGGATATTTATTTCCCAGTTTACTGGGCTTGGTGCTTCATAACAAGAAAAGTTGCCACCCAGCATGAGCAGTTTAAGGAGACTGTCCAACCCTTTTAGGGGTATTTTGGGTCACCCCTGGCCATATTTTATCAATTGATTTTAGCATTTAGTCTTAAAGAAAGGAGATCTAAAAAAAATGCTCTCCTACATAAAAATGAACCATAAGAATATGGATTCCACATTCCATTGTGTCTGGACCACTACCTAACCATTAGCCCAAATTATGCTTACAACAGTAAATATAAGAGTGGGCTTTTGTAAAAGTTGGGAAAATGCAATGTAGGTTCATCATTTGAAGCCATCTTAAAGATATAGAGATCTTTTCCTTTTCTACATATTTTACCCATGAACTAATGATATCAAATGTTCATGCCAAAAACAAACTCTATGGTGAGATTTAGGGCACAATACTGATCCCCCAAAAACTGATATTCAAAAAATTACTCTCCTACATCAAAATGAACCACCAAAACAGGGATTCTGCATGCATTTCCCCTTATTTTCATCACTAACTAGTCATCCATGCAATATGCTTTTTATATAAAAATTTGCTGTGTGAGATTTTATGAAGACAGAGATATCAGAGGCTTCTTGTATTTTTCCATCACTTGGCTTTGAAGTATCAGCTATATGTCAAAAACAAAAGACAAAAAAAAAAAATATATATATATAATTCTTTCATTTGGAACTGTACTTGCCCCAAAAGCTTGTACCACATAGTGATAGGCCATATTTTGTCTTTTCCACATATAAAAAAGTAGAAAAATTAGAAACCTCCCATAAAAGAATATGTTACATGAAGCTTATTTGTAAGGGGACGATATCACCATCACCTTGTTTAGAGTAAATCAAATTCAAAGTTAGCTATTATGTCATTTTCTCTTGCCTTATTAAGTTATTGTTTGTGCTCATTTTATTTCTTTGGCCTTGCTGTAAAATGAGAGGAAAAAATAAAAATACTGAGAAATAGGTATGTTAACCTCTTGCCGACGGGCATGGCATGTATGTACATGCCATGTCCACTGTGAGTCGACTTGTTTGATTGTCTTTACACATAGATGGCTACACTTGTACTAAGTCACCAGTGAGCCAATTACGAGTACTGCCTGTTTCGCCCATTCACCCTTTTCATTGATTTACGAAAATATTTAACACTATCTTATTTTTCTGTTAAAAATAACACCATCTATATTTATAGCACTAGTAAGAATACATTTTTTCCCGCCAATTCA